CTCCTCCTCCTCCTCCTCCTCCTCCTCCTCTTCAAAAAGGACATCGTGCTGCTCTTTTTCAGTAGTTTGCTGCAATAGTGTGATCGTGGGGATGGCGAGGACTCTGACTTTCGTGCTCACATCTCATTGAATTGAGAAAGGGTAGTATTAAAAAGATTATGGTTATGTGCACTTAAATATCAGATTGGTTTTTTGATCTGTTATAATACCACAAAGTACATCTGCATAAAAGCATTCCTTCAAGCATGGATCTAACAATCTAGATTCCAAACAGATAGTTTATTAAGGTGGCTCATTCATAAAATCTTGTGCATGCATATCCTTATTGCTTCCTGTGTGAAAGCTGTTAAGCTTATGAAAGTTGGAGATGTTCCTGACATACTAAAAGGAATACATCACTTATATACCGGGAGGGCATGAATTTATTGCAGCGCACGGTTGTATTATTATCCTGTTTCCTGGATCCATTACTCTTGCAGTTAGTATGTGAGTCAAGTCCTTTGCCATTTATGTGTTCTGTGCGTCATTCTTTGTATTTGTGTGCTTGGATATTTTAGGCTCTGGGTCTCCAGTATGCCTCTAATGACAGTATGGCTTTCAAGGACAATGGTTTACCTACTAGTACATTATTTGGTGCCTACCAACTGTCTTGCCCCACCTAATTTTAAGGGTTTTTTTTTCCTTTTAATAAAAAAATGAATTAGAAGCTAGTATGTTGCAGATTCAAGTCTGTAGAACCTGTATTTCCCAGATAAATCCCAGAGGGTTTCTTTTGAGAATAAGATGGTGGGTGGCAACCAGCAATGTTTTATTTATATTCTATTAGATGGATGTTTTGTGACTGGCTACACCCACCATGGGAACAATTTTGTGAGGGTGTCTGCAACATGCTCTCAAAATTCCTGTCTTAAAACCCAAGCTAGGGGATACTCAACTATTTGACCATAGTTATATATACTAAAGCTACTTGATACTCTGTGTGTGTGTGCGCACACACACATACACTTACAAACATACATATAGTCAGTCGTCTGTGTGTATGTATATCCTAGGAGGATGAAATCTAAGCCCCACTATCCGCTACTGCTCCAATAAAATGCATGGCTCTCTGCTCTGTAGCCATTTGGAGGCTGTTAACCTGCCTCCTGCATATCCTCTAGTTTGGTCTGAAGATTGTCTTGCTCATTAGACATATGTTCACTTATATTTAACCTTGTACATTTTTTAAAACTTAACTTTAACTCATTTTCAACTTGCTGCTTTGGAAACAGCTTTGTGTTGAAATCCTTTTAAAAAGGTCTGTAGGAAATCTAAAGATTCTGTGATATAGAAACGCACAGCAGTGAAGTTGGTGGCTTTAAGACTGTCTGACTTTCTCCTTATTAGCTTTGTAAACTTCCCTCAACATTTAGACTTCAACACTTGAACATTCATGAAATGACACACATGAATGCTTCAGATGAGTTCACCCTTGGTTCCTCCACATCCTAATATAATCATTGATATTTTAGATTTGTATGGGTAAAATCTGTGCTCAGATTTTCCCATCCTGCTATGAACTCTCAGTCTTGACTTCAACATTGTTAATTTGGTGCGTCCAGGTGAGTTGGACTACAAGTCCCAGAATCTCTGCCTCATGTATCTGTTAGTCTAAACCAGTGTTTCTCAACCTTAGCAACTTTTAAATGTGTGGACTTCAACTCAGAGAAGCTGAAGTCCACATATCTTAAAATTGCTGAGGATGAGAAACATTGGTCTAAACTGTCTGGCAGACTATTATTATTATACCTAGATTCTCTCTCCAGGTTAGCTTATGTGAAAGTTGCTTGTTGAAGTCAATGCGGTGTCCTTTATATTATGGAGAAAAATTCAGCCTTTTTTTGACTTCAGGGCTTCATTTGACTCTTTAGTGGTATGTTATAGGTCACGTTCCAGATAGTGGGCAGGACCAAGTGGGCCAGATGTACCAAAACTCCAATTGGATTGAATTGAATTAGAATGAAATTAAATGTAGTTAATCTACTTACTCCCCATGTGTTTAACGTTATACTAAAATTATCTGTAAGTTTTGGGAGAACTCCATGGCCACTCCCTGGATTTGGGAGGCTGTAAACAATCTAAGGCCCTAGGTTCTGCTTTCCTAATCTACTCAGTAATTCTTCCACTGCCCTCTAATTGCCTTCATCCACAGCCAGCCTCCAAAGTAGATATAAGTGTGGAAAATAGAGATAGAACATACCTCAAAATGTTCACTTTGGGACTGTCCTCCAGTATAAACATATTTCCTTCTTAACTGCTTATGTACTGATCATCTCTTATGTTTGCCTATGTAGTTCTGATTCCAAGTATGAATTCAGAGTATAATAAGAGGAGCAAACTTGTGAAAAACAGTAGTTTAAATGTGCAGAATGTAAGTCAAAAGGGGTTTGTGGGAAATATATTATATTTTCCTATATTACACTTTTCTACTTTCATTGCAGTTATAAACATCTTTTCTCACTCTTCTTATAAAACAATAAGGTTAAGACATTTCCATACATTCTTTTATGATCAGTGCTGCTGCCTAAAAGTTACTCAGATACTTTTTGTTGGTGGCAGAATAATAATAATAGCAATAGCAATAGCAATAGCAATAGCAATAGCAATAACAATATAATATATATAATATATATAATGTCTCCTGACTCAGTAACTCTGGATGATTTACAAATTGTTAAAAACATTTAAAAACAAGGAAACAACAAAAAACACAGAAAAACACCCCCCCCCCAAGAATAAAGAATAAAAGAGAATATGTATAGCTCAGGGTTGAACTGTGGAGTCCTTGGGGTTCTCTGAGCTTGGTTGTTTTCTTGCAAACATTTTGTTACCTGGCTAGGTAACATCTTCAGTGCCAGAATGGAATGGGGTTTGCTCTCTGTTTATATACTGTGGCATGCCCTATATAAACAGAGATCAAACCCCATCCCATTCTGGCACTGAAGATGTTACGTAGCCAGGTAACGAAACGTTTGCAAGAAAACAATCAAGCTCAGAGAACCCCAAGGACTCCACAATAAAGAATAAAGATGGCAGAAATGACAAAACCAGATGAGAACAAAGAAAATTAGTGCTTGAATTCAAAACTGGAATGAAAATTCAAGCAGTGTATGCTGCTGAGGAGCAAGTAGAGTGGAAGGGTTCTAGACTATAAAGGTATATAGTTATTTGTATAAAAATAATATACAATTAAAAAAATTAAAATCAGGAATTGTACCTGTATTATACATTAGGACATGCTCAGCACTGAATTTCTTAAATAGCACTGAAATGTTCTTTTGAAGGAGGAGTACCTTCTTTCAGTGGAATGTGGTGTAGCAATAAGTAAATAAATAAATAAGCAAGCAGGCCTTGGCCCTATATGCATTATTTTATTATTCAGTTTCAGCAGGCTTATACCCACTTTACTTTATGTTGTCTTAGATGGGAGGCTCAATAAAATTCCATTCACTGAGAAATGCTGCCCTTTGGTCAATGTGAACCTGAGATCCTAACTCATGTGCTTTTCAATGTCCATTCTATGATAATATACATGTAGGTATACTTTGACTTTCTCCCAACAAATTCAGATTTGTAATGAGGGAAGGGGAATTTGTTTCTCACTTCAGAAACAAATTCCCACCATCAGGAATCCCACCATCACTAATACAGTTGCTGTTCTTATTTCAGTAATTTCCATAAGATGTCCTGATCTTGGGGTCTAAATAAGATTTATCCATATCTTCTTGTCATCTAGACCAGCCTTTTTCAACATGGTGTCTTCCAAAGGAGCTAGAATTACAATTCCTGCAACTGCAACAATGTGCTGACTAAATTCTGGAGGCCATAATTCAAACATGTCCAGAGTTTGGCATTAGAGTAGAGTGTGTGTGTGTGTAAGGATTTGTGTGTGTAAGGATTTGTGCTTCAAAAAAACCAACAGTTTTTT